CCGCGGCTCCCCGCGCGGCCTGTGGCCAGAAACGGTTTTCGCTTGTGTGCTGTGCTACGTATGCATAAGATTACTGCTCTAATCACTGGAAGTGTACAGTGCAGGAGCGCTGAGGGCGTTCATCCAGCCTACTCACCTCCGCACCGTCTGATAGCGCTCCTTCCCCACCTGTTCTAGCTCTTGGCAACCTTTGTGCTACTTTCTGTCTCTCTAAATTTGCACACGCCACTCTCTCGTACGAGTGGCAGGGCACACTATTTGTGCTTCTATTCCTGCTTTATTTTACTTAGCACATCTTCAACGTTTATCCGTGTTGGAGCAGTATCAGAATTTAATTCCTTTTTATGGCTGATTAATAGACTATTATACGTGTGTACTATATTTTGTTTCTTTATTCATCTGTGGATCGAAGCTTAGATTTCTTCCACCTTCTGCCTAATACAAATAATGCGGCTGTGAACATGGGTACGCAAACACCTGTTCAAATTCTTGCCTTCGGTTCTTTTGGATACTTGTACACCCAGAAGTGGAATTACTGGATCTACCGTGTTCCTATTTTTAGTTTTTTGAGTAATCACTATATTTTTTCATATTAGCATTTCACTTTCCCACAAATATTGCACAAAAGTTCCAAATTCTCCATCCCCTCACCAACAATTATTATTTTCGGTTTTTTAAAAGCTAGGGCAGTCATTAGTAGCCATTTAATGAGTATCAAGTTTTTTCTCACTGTGGTTTGATTTGCATTTTCCTAATGCCTACTGATACTGAGGATCTTTTCTTGTGTTTATGGATGATTGTATCACTTCTTTAGAGAAATGTCTATTCAAGTATTTTGCTCAATTCTTAATCAGGTTGTGTTATTGTTGTTGTTGAGTTTTAGGGGTTCTTTATTATTCTGGATATAAGTCTTTTACCAGATACACAATTTGCAAGTATTTCCCCATTCTGTTTCCTTTTAACTCTGCTGACCACATCTACAAGAGTTTACATAAGTTGTCATGTAAACTTATACATGTGGATTATGTATATTGGATGAGAGCTACCTAACACTCCTTTTCTAAATCTCTTCCTGCTCAATAGCTATAGAAACCTCTGTTGTCTCCAACCAAGAACCCAGGCTAACACATTCAGTAAAGATCATTACATTATATTCAGTAATTTTTCCTCACAAGGTAGTGTTTTCTGAGAAAATCTTGATTTTAATCATGACTTTTCTACATTTATTGCCCATAATCTTCCAATATCTATAAAACTGACTTACTAAAATTTATATATCACAAGGAAGGATACAATTGCAATTGTATTTTGATAAAAAGGAGTCAAAATTTAGACACAAAAAGATAAGACTCTGAGTGAGAAATCATAACTGAAAGAGCACAATTAATTACAAGAACTTTATTCCTGATGCTTGATTTTATTGCAACCCAATGAGAAAGTAAGACATAGCTGAGAAAAGACCCAGGAATCTAAATTCCTAGCATAGACATCCTAAGTTTCTCGTGAACGGAAGGCTGTTTATCATGGGAGCAATTGTTGGTCAAAGCTCACTGGACAGAAAGGGAAAGAGGTCGTAATTCAGAACTCTAATCTCAGTTACTCCACACTCACGCTGAGTAAATTACTTCATTCAGAGCCATCCTATTTCTCCCAGCCAATGATTACACTCTTAAAAAAAACAAACCACTCAAAGCAGAATGTTTCCTTTATTGTTATTTATGCTTGCTTTCCCACGCAGCCACTGGGTGACTAATAGTGACCTCATTACAAAAACAAGACTCTGTCCATGAACTCTGCCCAGAAATGTCATTCAGACCCCTCCTTCTTCTTGTATCTGATTTATCTATCATTAGAGATTTCTACTTTTTCTTCCCTTTTTTTCTTTTTTTCTTCCTAATTTAGCACATACTCATCTTTTTAAGAAAAAACAATTCTATTCTGTGTTCAGCACTCCCATTAAAAAATAGTTTTGGTTTTTTCCAATATTACTTCATATGAGAAAAGTTGGGAGAAGAAGTGAAGAAAGCAATTAAAAAGGGAATTGTGAAAAAAAAAAGTCAAACCCTCAAACAAGCCACATGTATATCCTACAAGCTAACAAGCTGATCCTTGGGGACAGTAAAACGAATAAAGAAGCAAGGATAGAAAGCAGGCAGACAAGTACCAAGTGAAAAGCTGAGGCAGGACAGAGTCTCTCTAAGCCCAGCCGCAGAGTGAGAAAGGGGCTCCTTGTGGAGTCCGCAGCGGTGCACGGCGTCTCCCGAGCCACCCCTTCTGCGGGCAGAGAACACCCTGTGCAACCACAGCCCGCCGATGACGAGCAGCGCCGGCTCTGAGAGGTGACTAACTGCCTGCCCCTCATTTTCAGCCTACAGTTAGAAAACTGTGGGTGCAATTATTCGTGTGTGCAATTTCCCAACAACAAATAATTGTGGCTAAACAACTACCTGCATTGTGAAAGGGAAGTATAATCGGACCTCCTTTTAATAAGTTAGTGTTTAAGATGTAAACAAGCATATAATTTGATCTGTACAAAGACACCTATAACTTTTTAAAATTGCACTTCTGTACTCAACAGCTGCTTTCCCTAGCCCATTTGTGGGCCTTGCTGGAGCATCATCGGCAGAGCACCATCATAATTAAAGTGCAAATAAGAAACGCCGCACCACACGGATGAACAAGCCAGGAATCCTGCGGACCTCCTGGGTGCTCACGGCCAAGGGCAGAAGAAGCACAAACAGGATTCAGAAGCTGAGGAGTGCAAATTACTGTATTCTGCTTGAAAGACAAAGAAACCAACCAAGAGCACAGAGCGCTGTGCCTGGCAGACAGAGGACACTCAGCTGCTACTTCCAAGCTGATCCTGGCTTGCATCCCCCCGGCACCTGGCGTTTCCACTGTTTCCCCGAGCTTGCCTGTGGGCTCTTGGTTGAAAATGCTTGCGGGTTTTTCACCATTTATCTTTCTCAGTTCTGTCTCTGATGGCAGAAAACCAACTCAAGGTAGTTTCAGTCAAACAAAATAACTGGTCAGCAGAAGGGAGCTCTTGGCCGACTTCCCTCCTCCATCTCATGGCCAGCCTCCCTCAGGTGGGTGTTCTGTGACACGTGGTATTGTCCATGTGGAAGGCAGTGGAAGCTGCTGACTCTTCAGCCACACTGCTGATGTTTGAATCTGGTCCCACCACCTACCTAGAGAAAATTACTTAAATTCTTTGAGTTTCAGTTTTCTCATCTGCAAAATGGGGGCAATAATAGTAGCTACTGCTCGAGAAGGTAGTTGTAAAGATTAAGTAAGAAAATACACATAAGCAACTCACACATAAAATGCCTGACACATCACATGTGCTCAGCATAAACAGTTCGGGAGAGGAGCCGAATGGCCAAGCCTTCTAGAGCGTTTTCGTCGGGTTCCACGGAAGGTGCTGTCCAGGCATTATCCCCGTTGTCTCACCACAACTCCACGATGTAGGGTCACCTTTACTCTCACTTTGCAGGTGAACAGAAAAAGTTCAGAGAAGCTTGGTGCCGAGGAAGCAAGGGGTGGCGGGGTTTTTCTGGGGAGAACGAAGAGTAAAAACTGTAGGCTGTGCAGGCCAGGTGTTCTGTCACAACTAGCGAACCTGTCGCTGAGAGTGAAAGCGGCAATAGTCAACACGTAAACGAAGCAGCGTAACTGTGCTCCCAGGAAACGTCTGCTACAGGCAGTGACTCTGGAGTTTCATAGAATTGTCATGTGCCACAAAATATCCTTCTTCTTTTGATTTTGTTCCAGTCATTTAAAAATGTTAAAACATTCTGAGTTTAAGAACCACACAAAAATAGGCAGTCGGCTGGATGTAGTCCTTGGACTGCTGCGTGTTGAGCCCCGCTTTGGTGCTTTACCAAGGCCACAAGCTAAAGCTGGTGATCCCAGCGCCAGGGCCAGGGGCGGATCTGTGTGGGATTCCCTCCGTTCGGACTGCTGCGGGGGAGAGAAGGGGTGTGAGGGGCTAGATACGCGAACGAGGGCTCTCTCTAATGGCTAGCAGATATCTTTTGGAGACTTTTTCAGCTCAGTTGTGCTCTAGGGATGATTTCCCCACTGCTCTTACCGGGTCTGCCAGTCCTCTGAGGACAGCAGGAGGCCTGGTGTACAAAATCTCACCAGCGGAGAGGCCTGTGTTCCTCGGGGCGCACCGTGTCCGAAAGAGCACAGCGGGCAAGGCTGGGACCCAGGTGAGCCCCGCCTCTTCGCAGCGCTCTCCCAGCCCCGTCTTCAGCGTCCTGTGTACCTCGCTGTCTGTCCCAAGCTCTGGGACGATAGGCTGCGTGTAGAATTTCAATTTCCAATGTTCGCGCCCCTCCTTGAACCACCAATGCCATGAAGGGGGGTCCACTGTCAGACCCCAGGCTCCAAGGGGACCATAACCAGGAATGATTTCTTAGAGCAGCTGTTGTGCTACTTCTTGGGCCTTTGCAGTTTGGCAGGGGAAAGCTTTAAGCCAGTTGGAATAGGTGCAAACAAGGACCGGGAAGTAGTGGAATCCTCCACATTTGGGAACTTCTGCAAAATCAACTTGAATATCCTCAAATGGTGCTGACCACACTTTCTGGATGCCTGCCAGGGTCCCCAGGCCTACTTTGGGGTTGTCTGTTTTGCCAGGGCAGTCATCTGGGTAATGTAGAAATAAGGCCCAGCAAAACTTTCAGTTTTTCTCTTCTAAGTGGGAGGTCTCCTGAACCGTCGTACCAGCTGGGGCAGGGTGGGGCCACCGCAGCTCGACCCTCTGGGAGCCTGGACCAGCCAGCCAGTCCCTTAGTCTCTCTGCTTGCTTCACCCACCGAACCTCTTCTGGCCGGTACCCTGGCTTCTCAGCTGGCTCCCAGGGAGCAGTGCAAGAGTACAGTGTCTGGTCTCACACTGGTGGCCTCAGCCTCACCGCCAGCCTTGTCATTGCCCAGTTGCTCCTCAGATTTTCCCTCCTGGTGCCCTTTGCAATGGACAATAGTGACTTTTCTGGAGCCCGAACTGCTTCTAAGAGTTGAAGAATATCTCGGGCGTGTTTGATTTTTTGCCCCCGGCCTTGAGCAGGCCTCTCTTTCTATGTGGGGCCCCATGTACGTGCAGCGTTAGGGAAGCACACTTGGAGTCAGTGTAGACACTTGTCTTTTGTTTACTGCCTCCAGCACTCGGGTAGGGTTAGAGAGATTAATTCTGTCCTCTGTGCTGAGGATCCTTGCGGCAATGGTCAGGATTTCATGACTGGCGTTAGGGTCCGTGTAGCCAGCCAGCTGTCTCCAGTCCTCATCTACAAAAAAACCCTAAATAGGGCTGCTGAAGGGGCGGGTCCCGGAGGTCCAGCCAGCTGGGGTAGACCTGTTCTGTGGCCTCTCGAAGTCACATGAGGGTCCTTCATGTTGGGGAGAAGGGTGGCTGGGTCGAAGTTGTTGGAAACTTCCGTTAGGATGAAAAGGTTCTCACAGAGCAAACTTTGTTACTGGGTCAGGTGCAAACTGGTAGCCAGTGGTGGCCTGCAGCATTTGTAAGAGTGACCGCTGCGTGTGGAACTGTCACTCACAGGCCTTGGCCCAGAGTCAGCTTGTCAGCTCTCTAAGTCAGGAGGGCAGTTGTAGCAAGAGCTCTCAAGTAAGGAGGCCCACCTGTGCTACCCCATCCAGCTGTGTTGACAAGTAGGCTATTGGCCTTTCCAGGACATAAGGGTCAGACGAAGGTTTTTTTCTTCCCCCTTTGTAGCTTCACAGAGGGGTTTTGCCCTAATAGCAGAGTTGGGGCAACCACTCTGCTGAAGCTGGCGGCAGTCCTAGTAGAGTGTAAGGATTTGGTACACTGGACTGCAGGGTCACTGTGGCTTCCTTGACCACTCAGAGGCCTTGGACTGGGCAATTATCTCCACTGTCTGCCTCCCTGACTGGAAGGAGAGATGCATTCCAGGATGGCGGACAGGGAACAAGGATCCCATAGGTCTGCAGTCTCTCTAAGCATGGATAAATTCCCCACCAGGCTTCTTGAGGAATCAGGTACTGATGTTGAGTAACCAGCATGGCACCTGGCTTCAGCTCTATCTTGACTGGGGGTTGATCTAGGGCCAGGCTGAGTGGATCGTCTGCCCAGACTTGAGGCCATTGTCCAAGGAAGTCCCTGCCTCCCTCAGGAGCCTTTTGGACTGGCCTATTGTGAAGCCTCCATTTCTCAGCCAGAGGGCCTGGCAGGATGGGTCCTGGTTGGGCTGTGGGGCAACCTCAGGGCTGGATGCCAGGGATGCCGAAGGTCTTTGGTTCCAGCCTTCCATCAGTGTTCCCCAAGTATGAGGGGGTGGAGGTCTTCCAAGGTGCCTGAGAGAATAGGCAGTGTTGTGGGGGCGGAGTTTGTTTGCGGAGGCCAAAGTGGCAACCAGAATTTGGGAAAGGGGTTCCCTCAACCAAAGAGGGACAAATAACTAACTACAACCGTAATCTATGTAGGGAAACCGTTCTAGGATTCCAAGGTCTCCTGCAACAACCTGCCAACCCCTCTGGGTGAGACCTTTCCGGTGAGCCCTGGGCTGGCCATCCAACCTGAATGGATGGCCATTTCATCTCACAGAGGGTCCAGAGTTTCCCAGGAGTGACTTTCTATCCATAGTCTCCCTTAAATCCTATCTTAAAATATTTTATTGTAACTTCTAACAGAGGGGACTTGCTCTGACCCCCTCCCATGGCTCCTGCCACCCACGAGGAAAGATAACGGAAAGAGACAGCAATCCATCGATCGCTTCCTCCATCACCAGCCAGTCTCCTCGCAGAGAGTATTTCTAATTCATTGCACCCTCCCAGATTTCCCGGTTCTCGTCCTGCCAAGCAATTGTCCCAGGTAGTGTGTCTATACGGGACAGGCTGAGCTGATCAGGCTGTCACCGAGGGGGGCCTAGGGGCGCACCCACCTGCTCTGTTTGGTGGACTCTGGCTTCCCAGGATCTGCCTCGAGCTACTGGGGCACCTAAAGAGAGATGATTGTTATTTCTCAGTCCTTTTCCCCAAAATGCATTCTGTACTTCTCAAGATATCCACCTCCTTAAGTTTACCTACACTTTTCTGATTCCCGTTGACCGACAGCTGGCCAGCCATGGTTTTCAAAGCACACGCCATGGACCATCTGCCTTCACTTCACCTGAAAACTTCTTAGAAATCCAAAGTTGCAAGTTCACCTCCAACCTATGAACCAGTGCGCTGGGAACCTGGGATGGAGCCCAGCCAGATGTGGCCCAACTCTAGTCAAACTCTCACGTACACTCAAGCTCGAGAAGCACTGAGTTAAGGCGAAAGGCGGTGACGTGTGACTGCTCTTCGCTGTACAGTCCTGAGCTGGCATTTGGCGTGTCTAGTCACAAGGATGCTCATGTGGCCTTTGGTCACAGAGTTCCTCATCTGCTCCCCCGTCTGGCATTTTTTTTTTTTCACTTTTTCTCTTTATAAGCAATATTCTGGATGGACTCCACCCCACGTTCCTCTTTCTGGTCTGAGGATGACCTCAACCCCTTCCAAGTGAGCCAAGCTGATGCACATACCCAGGGCAGAAGGAAGTCCTTCCTCCCACCCTGCACACCCCGAAGACACCCTCACCTGCGCCCTCCCCTTCCTCCACCCCAACAGGGCACTAAATGGTACAGTCCAGAAATCGTCTTTGAGACTGAACAGAACAGGAGCATACTCTTTATAGATTTCTGTGTTTTCTGAGCTTTATACAACATGCATAATTCCTGTTCAGAGTTCGGGAGAGAGGGGCGGTTTTTATTCTTAGAAGTTAACAAGTAAAGATTTAACCCAGTGAAGCCTGTCTGTTCAGATTCCTCTTGGCCTCTCTGTGCCCCATTTCTTTACCCCTGGGAAGAGCAGAGATCTTGGAACCACAACCAAGCAAAGTTGGGTCAGAGAATATCTTTATGGTCAGCTCTTAAACAGAAGAATGGGGAAGTTAGGCTAATGTTCTGAGGTTTTATCATTGGCTCTGGACCAAAGGAGTTCCTATAAACTGGGCATGGTGGCACACGCCTATAATCCCAGCACTCAGGAGGCTGAGACAGGAGGATTGCTGTGAGTGTGGAGGCCAGCCTGGGCTACAAAGTGAGTTCAAGTCCTGGCTGAACTACATAGCAAGACCTTGCCTCCAAAAACAAAAGAAACCAAAAGGAGTTCCTGTTTCTATGATCTGCTTTGAGAAGAGGAATTCAGTTTCTATGATTTGCCTCGAAGACCAACGGCAGGAGAAAAAGAAAAGCTTTGCTCAAAAGCCCTTTTGAGGCTTTCGCTTTGAGGAATGGTTTTCTGAGCCCCAACAAGGGCCTCACTGGAGTGGAGAAATGAGAATGAACTAAATGGGCCACTCTCTTCCAATAGCTTTCCAGGCGCTCACGAAACTGTCTTGTTCGGCCAAGCCCTCTGGACAGCTGCTGGGGAAAACAGACTGTCCCTGCCCTCCCCAGCCTCACATCAGCTGTCCTCCCTCAGGGTGCCTTCTTGTCCGAGGCCTCCTTGGTCGTTCCGACTGACCCTCTCCTAGCGGGACTGCTGCCCGGCTTCCAGATGCTCTGGATGCATCTCGCTCTGCCCAAAGTAGGCAAATGCAGAGGGAGCATAATCCACACTAGGTACAAATTTAATTACACATCCGACCTAATCGACTTCTGTTTGTTTGATTTGAATTCTATGGGATTTGTTCATTTTCCCTTGTTTGCCACTTTTTGAAAAACGATGAAACAGTATAAAAG